ACGAAGAAGCTTCTCATCTTCATTGTCCTCTTTCTTTGCCTTCTTTGCCTTCTCTGCTTGTTGTTTAGTGTCACCTTTCCTCTTGCTGCTGCCAGAGACAGGAAAATCCTCCAATATACACACATCAGCAAATCTCTAAACATGGCATCAATACATGAGAAATAAGAACAATGTTCTGTTCATAGATGGTCAAGGATGTGTGCCTTAACAACAAACAGTCAAATAGATCAGTTGACCACTAGTCTGACAGAGATCTGTTGACCACTAGTCTGACAGAGATCTGTTGACCACTAGTCTGACAGAGATCAGTTAACTACTAGTCTGACTCAGAGATCTGTTGACCACTAGTCTGACAGAGATCAGTTAACTACTAGTCTGACTCAGAGATCTGTTGACCACTAGTCTGACAGAGATAAGTTAACTACTAGTCTGACTCAGAGATCAGTTAACTACGTCTGACTCAGAGATCTGTTGACCATAGTCTGACAGAGATCAGTACGTTAACTACTAGTCTGAATCAGAGCGTGTGTGTGTGTCTTCTATATTATATATATATATATATATATATATATATATATTATATATATTATATATATATATATATATAGATGTGTTGTGTGTGTGTGTGTGTGTGTGCTTGTGTGTGTGTGTGCGTGTGTGCACATTCATCTGATCTCTCTCTCTTACCCCGACGACCGCTTTCCCTTGCCCAGCTTGGATATGATTAACTCTTTGTCTTCTGGTTTCAGCTTACCAAAGCCTTTAATTCTGTGGATCAAACATTCAGGTATATGCTGTGCTGCATTTGTACAATTATTACATATGGAGTCAGTTACTGGAACAAGACATCAAAGGTGTATGGTCTAGGTTTAAACAGGTTACTGGGACAAGTAGATCAAAGGTGAATGGTCTAGGTTTAAACAGATTACAGTGTTAGTTACTGGGACAAGTAGATCAGAGGTGAATGTTCTATACATAAACAGATTACAGTGTCAGTTACTGGGACAAGTAGATCAGAGGTGTATGGTCTAGGTTTAAATAGATTACAGTGTCAGTTACTGGGACAAGTAGATCAAAGGTGTATGGTCTAGGTTTAAACAGGTTACTGGGACAAGTAGATCAGAGGTGAATGGTCTAGGTTTAAATAGATTACAGTGTCAGTTACTGGGACAAGTAGATCAAAGGTGAATGTTCTACGCTTAAATGGATTACATATTGTCGGTTATTGTGACAAGTAGATCAAAGGTGAATGGTCTAGGTTTAAACAGGTTACTGGGACAAGTAGATCAAAGGTGAATGGTCTAGGTTTAAACAGATTACAGTGTCAGTTACTGGGACAAGTAGATCAGAGGTGAATGGTCTAGGTTTAAATAGATTACAGTGTCAGTTACTGGGACAAGTAGATCAGAGGTGAATGGTCTAGGTTTAAATAGATTACAGTGTCAGTTACTGGGACAAGTAGATCAGAGGTGAATGTTCTATACATAAACAGATTACAGTGTCAGTTACTGGGACAAGTAGATCAGAGGTGAATGGTCTAGGTTTAAATAGATTACAGTGTCAGTTACTGGGACAAGTAGATCAAAGGTGAATGTTCTACGCTTAAATGGATTACATATTGTCGGTTATTGTGACAAGTAGATCAAAGGTGAATGTTCTACGCTTAAATGGATTACATAGTGTCGGTTATTGTGACAAGTAGATCAAAGGTGAATGTTCTACGCTTAAATGGATTACATAGTGTTGGTTATTGTGACAAATAGATCTAAGGTGAATGTTCTACGCTTAAATGGATTACATATTGTCGGTTATTGTGACAAGTAGATCAAAGGTGAATGTTCTACGCTTAAATGGATTACATAGTGTCGGTTATTGTGACAAGTAGATCTAAGGTGAATGTTCTACGCTTAAATGGATTACATATTGTCGGTTATTGTGACAAGTAGATCAAAGGTGAATGTTATACGCTTAAATGGATTACATAGTGTCGGTTATTGTGACAAGTAGATCAAAGGTGAATGTTCTACGCTTAAATGGATTACATAGTGTTGGTTATTGTGACAAATAGATCTAAGGTGAATGTTCTACGCTTAAATGGATTACATAGTGTCGGTTATTGTGACAAGTAGATCAAAGGTGAATGTTCTACGCTTAAATAGATTACACAAAATGTAATGTTACTGTTAGAAACACAACAACAAAAATAATGACTGCCAACTTACTAGCAAAAGACCCTATCTGGGGGACAAAATATACTAACAATAGATTTTATCTGGGGGACAAAATTATACGACCAATAAACCCTATCTAGGGGGCAATATATATGATCAATAAAACCTATCTGGGGGGAAATATACTATTATTAGACCCTATCTGGGAGAGGGGATGTTCTTACAGCCAGCAGACCATTTCGACAAAAGTAAAATGATACTTACTGTGAAGGATCCATTTCCACAAAAGTAAAATGATACTTACTGTGAAGGATCCATTTCGACAGTAAAGCCAAGCTCGTCTCTGTTGCTCACAAAACAATCTACATGATGCCACAAATCCTGTGGCCCATGCATCACAGCTCTCTGGGACTCAAACTCTTTCTTGCTCAGTCGGAGGCTGTCCTGTTTGTGTGACCATTACATACACATATAGAATCTCTACTCATATGATCATTAGACAGATAAAGAATTCTCATTTGTGTGATCATTATACAGATATTGAATTGTTATTAGTGTGATCATTAGATCGTGTGTGGTCATCCGACATATATAGAATTCTTATTTGTGTGATCATCAGACAGATATAGAATTCTTATTTGTGTGATCATTAGACAGATAAAGAATTCTTACCTGTGTGATCATTAGACCTTGTATGATCATTAGACAGACATAGAATTCTTATTTGTATGATCATTACACAGATATAGAATTCTTATTTGTATGATCAATAGACCGTGTGTGATCATTAGACAGACAGAGAATTCTTATTTGTATGATAATTAGACAGGCATAGAATTCTTATTTGTGTAAACGTTAGACAGATATAGAATTCTTGTTTGCGTGATCATTAGACCCTATGTGAGCAATAGGTAGAAATAGAATTCTTACTTGTGTGATCAATAGACAAAGAAATCTAACTTGTGTGATCATTACACCCTGTGTGGTCATTAGACATAGAATTCTTACTTGTGTGATCATTACACCCTGTGTGGTCATTAGACATAGAATTCTTACTTGTGTAATCAATATGACATACATGTAATGTCACATAAAATCCATCCATGCCACACACACTCAGTACCATAAAGAAATCTTACTTTAGCAATGAACGTCTGACAACCACGGCACTGACTGCGCCCTGACTTGGCATATTCAGCGCTAAAATCTAAACTACCAGCACTGGATCCTTCACCCTCATCTGCATTACGACCACCTCCTGAAATATTATATCAAATAAAGTGGCTATAAACTGTAGAATGTCTGAACTGTTTATAACAGCATGATTATACAACCCCATGTACTACAGGGAGTGCACAGGTTTCCTTGTGTGGCTACTGAGCTACTATAACAGCATGATTATACAACCTCATGTACTACAGGGAGTGCACAGGTCTCCATGTGTGGCTACTGAGCTACTATAACAGCATGATTATACAACCCCATGTACTACAGGGAGTGCACAGGTTTCGTTGTGCAGTTACTGAGCTACTACAACAGCATGATTATACAACCCCATGTACTACAGGGAGTGCACAGGTTTGGTTGTGTGGCTACTGAGCTACTATAACAGCATGATTTTACAACCCGATGTACTACAGGGAGTGCACAGGTTTCATTGTGCATGAGTACACAATGTTGTGATGTAGAACAGACAGTACATGGACTGAGAACATGAGTACACAATGTTGTGATGTAGAACAGACAGTACATGCACTGAGAACATGAGTACCCAATGTTGTGATGTAGAACAGACAGTACATGCACTGAGAACATGAGTACCCAATGTTGTGATGTAGAACAGACAGTACATGCACTGAGAACATGAGTCCACAATGTTGTGATGTAGAACAGACAACAGACTAAGTACACAATGTTGTGATGTAGAACAAACAACAGACTAAGTACACAATGTTGTGATGTAGAACAGACAGTACATGCACTGAGAACATGAGTCCACAATGATGACTGACAACAACAGACTAAGTACACAATGTTGTGATGTAGAACAGACAGTACATGCACTGAGAACATGAGTACACAATGTTGTGATGTAGAACAGACAGTACATAGACTGAGAACATGAGTACACAATGTTGTGATGTAGAACAGACAGTACATGCACTGAGAACATGAGTACCCAATGTTGTGATGTAGAACAAACAACAGACCTCCAATCTTCTCCTTGATTTTCTCCTGGTCCTCCCAGCGCAGGCTGTGATAACTATAGATGTCATCAGGGTTCTTACATTTAGCTCTTTTCCAAAAACATGGGAAATGGAACCAGTTGGGTACCTGATGACATGTTACAGACATCCAATAGTTATATGATGGATCACAGAGTTATATGACAGATTAAATGGTTAAATGACATAGATTAGGCACTTCTAAAATATCAAACAGTTACAAGACAGAAGAAACAAAGTACACATGATAATACAGTTATGACAGAAACAACAAATCAAACAGTTATATGACAGATCAATCAGTTATATGACAGATCAATCAGTTATATGACAGGTCAAACAGTTACATGACAGATCAAACAGTTTCATGGTAGATTAAACAGTTATATGATAAATCAAACAGTTATATGATAGATCAAATAGTTACACAACAGATCAAATAAACCAATAGACCAGCTATATGACAGAAGAAACAAGCACAGATCAAACAGTTATATGACTGATCAATCAGTTATATGACAGATCAATCAGTTTTATGACAGATCAATCAGTAATATGATAGATCAATCAGTAATATGACTGATCAATCAGTTATATGATAGGTCAATCAGTTTTATGACAGACCAATCAGTAATATGATAGATCAAACAGTTATATGATAGATCAAACACTTACATGACAGATCAAACAGTTACATGATAGATCAGTTATATGACAGATCAATTATTTATTTCAAACAGATCAAATAAACCAACAGACCAGTTATATGACAGAAGAAACAAGCACAGATCAAACAGTTACATGATAGATCAAACAGTTATATGACAGATCAAACAATTATATGACAGATTAAATAAACCAATAGACCAGTTATATGACAGAAGAAACAAGCACAGATTAAACAGATATATATTGGTTGGATTGTGACCCTTTAGAAATAAAGTTTATTTGTTACACAACAAATCAATTATGACTGATCAACAGATCTATGACAGAAACAACAGACCTAATAGCTAAATCAGAGGTACATCTTTAATCAAATTTAGTTGTCTTGAAGAAAGAACTCAAGAAAAGAGGGATTAGTATCTCCAAAACTGAAACCAAACTGATCTTGAGAGAGAAGAAACACTAGATCATGATCATACAAAGTGATTTGGAACAGATCAAGTTGAAAAAACCTTGGAGTTGTAATAGACCAGAATGGAGGCACAAAGTCATTTATGGCTTTTGAAAAGCAGCAGCTGGGAGACTTTTCCAAGCCATAAACCGTGGGTTTTCTCCACCAAAAGAAATTGGCAAAGAGGACAAAAATGGCTATAAGTAACTCTACACATGTGCTAGTCTTGACATATGGGTGTGTGTCATGGGCAGTGACAACCGCTCACTGAAGTCAGCTTCGGGCCTCAGAAAGTAGGTGTCTGAGAAATTAGTCAAAGTGACAAGAAGGGACAAACTTTGCAACCAGACAACACATAATGACATTGACAACATCTGACAGTCCCTGACAGAAATGACTCCAATGTAACAAGGCTTTTTTTTAAAAAGTCTGGCAATCTCTCCAGCAAAGACCCCCCCCCCCCCCCCCCCCCCCAGGTAGAAGAGGAGCAACTGAGTAAGTAAAGTAAACAACAGATGTAACAGTTTCTGACAGAAACAGATCAAACATTTACGTATACTTATGACAAACAATACAGTTTAATGATTAAGAAAGTAAAATAAAAACATGCAAAACTTTAAATACCATGGCTCAATAAAACAACAATGGATATTGCTCAACATAAATCAAAGAAGCCTACTTTAACCTAATCAGTTAGATAATGATTGTAACTCATTCATAAAGGATGCTGAAAAAGGTGAAGACAGGCATGCTCTAAGCAGGGAGACAAGCACTGGTTCAGAGGTCTCCAGGGCAAACATGAGTGTTGGGAAGAAATCAACAGGTAGATAGACTTGCTGGTTCAGAGGTCTCCAGGGCAAACATGAGTGTTGGGAAATCAACAGGTAGATAGACTTGCTGGTTCAGAGGTCTCCAGGGCAAACATGAGTGTTGGGAAATCAACAGGTAGATAGACTTGCTGGTTCAGAGGTCTCCAGGGCAAACATGAGTGTTGGGAAATCAACAGGTAGATAGACTTGCTGGTTCAGCACCACTCTGAATTGATGCATGACAAGCCAGATACAGTGAAGGTACTTTAGGAGCAAGTGAACAAATTAGAAGCATGAACAGATCATTGAGAGAATGGTTCAGCAGCAAGGGACTATGGGATCTAAAGAAAAGGGTTTAGCAGGAAGTGACTATGGGATCTAAAGAAAAGGGTTCAGCAGCAAGTGACTATGGGATCTAAAGAAAAGGGTTCAGCAGCAAGTGACTATGGGATCTAAAGAAAAGGGTTCAGCAGCAAGGAAGTGACTATGGAATCTAAAGAGAATGGTTTAGCAGGAAATGACTATGGGATCTGGAGAGAATGATTCAGCAGGACATGTCTATGGGATATGGAGAGAATGGTTCAGCAGGACATGTCTATGGGATCTGGAGAGAATAGTTCAGTAGGACATGTCTATGAGATCTGGAGAGAATGGTTCAGTAGGACATGTTTATGAGATCTGGAGAGAATGGTTCAGCAGGACATGTCTATGGGATCTGGAGAGAATGGTTCAACAGGACATGTTTATGGGATCTGGAGAGAATGGTTCAGCAGGACATGTTTATGGGATCTGGAGAGAATGGTTCAGTAGGACATGTCTATGAGATCTGGAGAGAATGGATCAGCAGGACATGTTTATGGGATCTGGAGAGAATGGTTCAGTAGGACATGTCTATGGGATCTGGAGAGAATAGTTCAGCAGGACATGTCTATGAGATCTGGAGAGAATGGTTCAGCAGGACATGTCTATGGGATCTGGAGAGAATGGTTCAGCAGGACATGTTTATGGGATCTGGAGAGAATGGTTCAGCAGGACATGTTTATGGGATCTGGAGAGAATGGTTCAGCAGGACATGTTTATGGGATCTGGAGAGAATGGTTCAGTAGGACATGTTTATGGGATCTGGAGAGAATGGTTCAGCAGGACATGTCTATGGGATCTGGAGAGAATGGTTCAGCAGGACATGTCTATGGGATCTGGAGAGAATGGTTCAGCAGGACATATCTATGGGATCCAGCTGACAGTCTACACTTAAAGTTAAAGCAAACTGAGATTAACAGCTACTAATACCATCAGCACTAGAATTCTTTGCTAGCTGCTGAAGATGGGGACAAAATGCTTATGGGAATGCCCCAACTACTGTGATGCCAGTTCCTCAACTCAACTGAAGTTAAACAGCATCAAGAACTCATGGTGCAACATGAGCAAACAGCTGCAAGTGAGCAGTGGTAATATAAAAGTACATTAAAAAACAAAAATGAAAACACGACTTACTTTTCCATCAAAATGTGGTGACTGAAAAAAAAATTTAAAAAAAAAACCATTACAATGTTATCATGCATTCAAGTGCAAACAGAGACACAATACTGACACAACCAGGGTCTACCGACATACATGCCAATCAATTTAGAACATTGACAAGTCTGTACACATCCATGTCAACCAATACACAACACTGACAAGTCTGTACACATCCATGTCAACCAATACACAACACTGACAAGTCTGTACACATACATGTCAACTAATACACAACACTGACAAGTCTGTACACATACATGTCAACCAATACACAACATTGACAAGTCTGTACACATACATGTTAACCAATACACAACACTGACAGGTCGGCCCACATCCATGTCAACCAATACACAACACTGAAAAGTCGGCCCACATCCATGTCAACCAATACACAACACTGACAAGTCTGTACACATCCATGTCAACCAATACACAACACTGACAAGTCCGCCCACATACATGTCAACCAATACACAACACTGACAAGACTGTACACATACATGTCAACCAATACACAACACTGACAAGACTGTACACATCCATGTACACAACACTGATAAGTCTGCCTACATCCATGTCAACCAATACAAAACACTGACAAGACTGTACACATCCATGTACACAACACTGATAAGTCTGCCTACATCCATGTCAACCAATAGACAACACTGACAAGTCTGTCACATACATGTCAACCAATACAAAACACTGACAAGTCAGCCAGCATCCATGTCAACTAAGAGATCCATGGGGATGATGTTATTACTGCTAAAGCAATTTGGCTTATGGGGATGGTGTACTTGCTTCTAGAGAAGCTGAGCTGAATTTTAACCTGTGTCCAGTCAGTACCTCTCAGTCAGTCTTAGTGTGCGGACATGTTTGTGCATGAATTGTTCCCAGTCCAGTGTGTTTTAAAAAAGAATTTCCAGAATGGATGGTTGTGCAGCCCATGTGTTTTAGAGGTCGGTATTGTTGCGGTTAGGGACACATGGTTGACAGGAGTATCTGTAAGGGCACAGAAGGTGCCAGGAACCTTGTGTTTGTTTATTAACGTGGAGTGTGATGTGGGGAAAGTATCGGAGGCTGACTGACAGAATTGTAGGCAGCGATGCTTTAGTGACTAGATAGCAGACTGCGGTCTGAATTTTGTTTTGGCTTAATTATTTACTGTATGGTGCATTTACCTTAAACCCTCAGATTGATGGGTCCGTTCGAGTAACGTCAGGGGGTGGTCACTGTTCACACAGGCGTATCTGCGTAGCCGGGTGTGAATTTCCCATAGCAGGCACCTAGGACATAGTTCGTTGGGGTGTTTCGTCCATTTTTAGAAAGGCTGCAGTGTGTTATCGATCACCGATCATTTTCGTTGTGACATGTTTCGTCCATAATAAAGAGACTGATGCACTAGTACAGAGATGACTTTAAGTGTATCAGAGTTGACCTTGCCATCTTTGTGTTGGTATTACGTTGTTGACTGGAGAACTTTGTGTATATATGGGTGAAGCATAATCATTCATCCCTACACTTTGCCAGATATGAGAGGCATCCCCCCCCCCCACCTCAGACTGCATATAACACTAGTGATTTGTCAAGCTAGCACGACCTTCAACCTGCTTTTGGGATAAGGTAGCTACTTCATTCAAATTTTTAAAATGCCCTCTACACCAATAAAACCAGCACAGTTAGATAGCTGTAAACAATCTCTTTCCAATGGTACCTCATTTAGGCTTGTGTGTCATTTCTGAGCTGAGATATGTAGGTTTTTGTGGAGATGAGATGTAAGAAACAGCCGCTAAAACTTGTGACCCAGAAACAAGAAGTTTTTCTCTGAGCAACCTACTGCACAGTTCTGTATCGGCTTTGTTGACATTGGACTGTCATTGGACAAGATGGCAGACAATGAGACTCAGCCGCATACGATTGCCTAAAAAATGTCACTGTAAATCTAAACAGCCAAAAACGGGAAAGCAATTTTATATACAAATGTAAAATTGGACGGAGAATTCCATTATAACTAGCATTACCACATCTGGTAATGTTTAAGGCCTAAAGCCAACTTTGAATACTTAACGCTATTTTCAATCAAACGGATGTAACAGAAAAACAGAGGACGTCCGGCTGTCGTAGACATGCGCTGTTAATCGGGTTCCTTCCCGCTGTTTTCAGCCATTTAGAGTGGGTGAAAATCACACCAATCGCAAAATTTCATGAGAGATTAGGACCCATCCCGAAACCCCAGCCGACATTTCCGAAACAAGTTTCAAACGGTTTCCATGGTAACATTTATTGTCGAAAAGATCGCAAATTTCCGAAACTGTAGTCGCTAGATAAGGAAGGGGGCACCTGCAGCTCTTGAAGCTAACTGTAATAGATTTAATGATCTTTGTACATTAAAAATTTTGTGTGTGCTCCATGGGTGTTCAGCTTGGTTGTTTTTGGGTAGATTTATTTGTTACCGGCCGGCCTGCAACATGAGTCAGATGTAGTACAGAAAAAATAAAGTCATTGACAGATCAAATGGAGGCTTTCGTCCAACCCACTGTGCTTTGGGAGATAAAATAGGTGCATTGAATTTAAAGATAAATGCGCTTTAAATCAATTAAGTTTTGTGCTGTGTAATAATAGAAATATTAATAAGCTGTACGTAACAATAGTTGTACCTTGATACTGGCAATAATTTTGACTGACACGGAAACATTAATTATCTCTCTGATTCTTCGTTGTGTTTATTTATCAATTTATCATCAAGAGCCGTTGTGTTACATACATTATCAAGAGCTATCCAGCGATGCTAGTCCCATTATTGAAGTAAAACTAAAAAAAACTATCTCTCTTTCCTGAACAAGCAACAAGCCAGTAGCTATGATATTATTTGATTAACTACAGGAACCACGTCGTTAAGATTATTTACCTGCGTCATGATGGCCAGTCTCAATGTACGCTCGGCAATTGCACTTTTGCAAGCTTTACAGGATGCTCTGCCACTTTTAGCATATTCTGCCTGAAAGGGCAAGTCGTGGTTAGACATGCTGCTGTCTTGTCTGTCTAATTGTCTGTCTGCCGGTGTAGATCTGTGGAGTCAACAACAGTCAAGTGTCAACAAGACATGCGTCTGCTCAAACTGGCGCTCAGTAGTCGATACCTGGCGCCCGGCCCATGGCGATACCCGCCGCCATGTTCAGGTATCGATACGTCAAGCCATTTTTGTTAGTCGGGTTAGTTGGTTGTGTACAAAGAAGAGAAGAATTACTGACATCTTGAAAGATCTGAACACCAAGGGAGATTGGCTAATGAACAGCATTATGTCGCGGAAGCTGAAATATTTTGGTCATATCAAGCGCTACGACAGATTGAAAAAAATTATAGCAGAAGGCATGGTACCAGGAAGGAAGGGCAGGGGCCGACCGACACGAAGATGAGCACAGGATATAAGGACCTGCTTCATGATGATGATGAGTTTGGTTATCGTTATTGCACTCCGGGCAAGTCCATAGATGCTCAGATCCTTCCCTCAGTATGAAGTGGGCGGCTAATAGCACCAGTTCTATGTTGATTAACAAGTCTTCTGATATGGCTGGTGTGCGTCTCGTTTTTTGCTATGCCGATCTTAACTCCCAAGTCTATCATTCTGGCGAGTGATGTGAATTCACTATGGATCTTAACTCCCAAGTCTATCATTCTGGCGAGTGATGTGGATTCACTGCCCCCAAAGTCTACCACCACTGACATTTCTCGGAGGGCATTAATCCTTTCAGCATGATCCATAGGTCGACCGTCGGGAGCGATAGCAGATCCAGCCAGCCTATCAGCTTTTCCATTTCCCGGCACATAAATAAACCTGACTTCACGCATAGTGGCCTTCTGTAATGAGTCAGGCTGCATTGTTGATCATCATCATCAATTTCCACTTTTGCCGTGGGCGGAAGAGTTTGTGTTCTATTGACAGATGGGCAGCAATGGCTCCTGTCATTCCGTCTGCATTTATGAGCTCTGTAAGGTCATCAATCCATCTCTTGTTTTTACATCAAGTCGTTTTATGCGTTGGTAGTTGTTCTAGCTGCATTCTTACTAGACGACTCAATCATCTGATCTTCTGTTTCTCACTGAATTTTCTGCCTGGTGTTTTTTTTTTTTTTTTTCTACATTCTGTATGATAATATTCTTTCTAACTTTCTCTTGGATGGTCAAGTTGGCGGCTTTTCTCACGCATCTCATGTCACAGGTGTTAATTTTACGTAGAATAGCCTTTGATGTCAAAGTCTAACACTGGTGGCGCTACAGAAATTGCCCGGTAAAGAATATCAACAACATTCCTGCAGATGGGCGAGATAGAGACCGGACAATATTACAACAACATTACAGAACATGGCAGAGACCGGGAAAGAATATCAACAACATTCCTGCAGATGGACGAGATAGAGACCGGACAGAAAGATCAGTAACAGTCAAACACATGTAGCAGAATAGAAAGATCACCATGTTGGCAAAGATCCGTGGGTCACTTATTACGTCTTCACAGGCCTCCAGTTGAAAAACCCCGGTATAGACTATATAGAACATAAAATGCTATATGTATACGTACAGGAAAAAAAACATAAACAGATCATTACGGTCTGAGGAGAATGCCTGTGTGAGGAGTTACCAGGGGATCTGGCCGACACTCAACACCTTTTAGGACCACAATTTTTCTGGGAGTTGGAGAGCATTCATTTGGAGGGGAATTTTTTTTTACTGCAACACGACAAAGCTAAAACCTTCCTGAAGAAAAGTATTGGCTGTATCATCATCATCATCATGTAGCAGGTCCTTTGCAGAACGTCGCTCTTATCCCGGTCTGCCTGAAAGAAATTTGGTCTCTCGCCAGCTCTCCCGCCTCACGAACTTTCACACTCAAGGAGTCACTTATATCGTGTGCCCATCTTTGTGTATGTCGGCCCCTGCTCCTCCTTTCTTTGACCCTTTGGTGCCCAACACTAAATGCTTGTGGATTACTGTACAGAAGCATTGATAAACATTTCCCTCCTGGAGGATTAGTCATTTAGTGATCTCTCTCTCTCTCCCTCTCTCTCTCTCCTCCTCTTCTCTCTCAGTTTTTTTTATTATGTGTACATATACCTCCCTTTCCCCCTCAGCTTTGATGTGTGAGTGCTTGCGAATTGTTAAATATTATTAATTGTTGTCATAACTATTACTAGTATGTTAAAGTATACGTATGCATATATGCATGGCAATAATATTTTAGTTATAAATGTATGCTAGAAAGTAAGGCTAATGGTATATGAGAGAAACATGATAACTTTTGTACACCATTAAGACATGCGTGTGAGCATGTAGAGAGTCGGTAGTCCAGAACCCAAGTTTAAGGTGTCTCCTGTGTGCCAAAGAACTGCATGGTTGTGGGGTGCACCGTCGTTAACGAAGGCAGTCAGGTCGTACAGGGGCGACACCATGCTGATGGGCGTTACGACCCTGGCCCCTTTCCCAGCACGAGGGCACCACTGGGGTGACCATTAATAAACCCTGACTACTTCCGGTCAAAATGGACGCTAGGCACGGCCAGTGTTTTGAGCTGTGGCAAATTTTTGTTGCTTCTGCCAGACGGTGGCCGTTGCATTTTTGCTCAATTTGTAGACTGAAAGGATATAGTTTCATCGCCCAACTTCTGAGTTGAGTGCATGGGGTTACACTGTGAGCTGCGTATTTCATGCCTTCTACTATAATTTTTTCTAATCCGTCGTGGCGCTTGATATGACCAAAATATTTCTTCTTCCGACACAGGATGCTGTTTATTAGCCAATCTTCCTTAATGTTCAGATCTTTCAAGATGTCAATATTTCTCCTCTTTTTCGTCAAAGATTTTCTGAGAATCTTTCTATTGCATTTCAGCTAAAAAGCCCCTATTCTCTTTCTTAAGGACTGGGAGATATTCCACGACTCACATTAGTATGTTGCTATAGGGAAAATGCATGCTCTCAAAATTCTAACTGTGATCTACTTCCATGATGAGTTTCTTGGGATAGGAATGTGGTAGTTATTGGCTGTATAGCGTTATTAAATATATCAATTTAAAGAGATATGAGAGAAGCATAAATCTAAATTATTCAAGTGCCAGTATTACAACAAAAATCACAGAACATTCAAGAATGTTAGACAGATATGAGGATTATCTATAAAACAAATGTTGTACTTACCTTACTTTTTACTTGTTCAACAACATTGCTATCCAATTCTAAGAATTCATATGATTTCTCTGTTCAATTGTGTATCTGCTAGTCTTTACTTAAACAATTATTTTAAATAGTTTGGATGTCACGACAATTTTTGCAAGACGTCCGATTTCACAACAACTAAAATTGGGAAAACAGCTGATCGAAACAGAGATGATTGGATTGATTTAGGGACCGGCTCTTAGTTATTTCCGCCGTCGAGTGTATTCTTAGTGATAACAATCACTTCATAGACCGGAGTGCCGTGTATGCGTCAGGCGGTGTCAATTGTCCTCTATGTGTAGACTGTTATCGGTCGTGATTATCCTTTGTACTTCAGGTCCAGTTTTCTCAAGTGTGTAATTTCACTGTCATTTATAGATTGTTTATTCGTTGTCTTGTTTTCGTAGAGAATTATCGCTGTCATCGTAGCGTCTCGTAATATCCTCCATTCATTAACAATTTATCATCAACATCTACAGCAAACATGTCTTTTGCTGAGTTTTTCAGCATGGCTAAAGAGCTGGGACTTTTTTTCCCTTTAGTATCCAGAAGCCATGAGTTATTAACCCTTAGGCTCGGTATTATAAATATCGCAACCTTTCGGCCTTGATTCCATTGTAAATACCGTCAATCTGGGAGAAAATGTGGTTTTTCTGCCTACCCCCGGGAGTGAACCCGGACCACAAGGAGTTCGTCACCCTGTCACCGCGCAATCCGGTTTAGCCAACCACGCTAGAGAGCCGGGCGAGAGCTGGGACAAGTTGGAAGAGGTCCCAAGCTTCGCAGACGCTTGAGTGAAGGAGGTAGCAGAGAGAAATGCAGAGAAAGAGATGAGTGCTAGAGATGAGAGGTCTCAGCAAAATCAGAGAAAGAGATGAGTGCTAGAGATGGGAGGTCTCAGCAAAAACAAAAGGCAGAGCTAGCCATTGCAGAAAAAGAGAAAGAGGTAGAGCGGTTGGAAGCGCTAAGTAGATAAAAGGGTTCGAACCACTCAGGTAAAGATGTGGAGAGATATAAACTAGAGCTGTACCTAATAGGGGATTGTCACTATTTGGTTGAATACGAATAACAGGATAAACTATTCTGCCGAATATGTAGCTTCCAAAACTTTCCCAATGTCATCAATAAATGTTACCACTTGAAAAAACTCTTATCTTTCTTGTCCCTTCCGTCGCACTCCTCCTGTGAGCTTAGGACTGTCTGTCGCACTTTCTTTAAACGCTTTACTGCAGGTCTCTCTAACTTACATGCCTGTTCAACCTCTGATGTCTACCATAGAGGCTGCACAGAAGTAGATCTGCCGGTCCTCTTACACGCCCTCTCACTGAGGAATTCAAGAAGGGTGTTAGTTCGCTCATACTTGAAAGTATGACCTTTGATCTCAGTCACATATGATATCTCAACATACAGCTACATAGGATATCTCAATATAAAACCACATAGCTACATAGGATATCTTTAGAGGAAAACAGGGTTGTCTCAGATCGGATCCACTTCCGGTGTAGGTGGTTTAGGGGTATCGATACTAACAAATATCTACGATTTGAGTCAATGGTGGTGCGGGAAACTGCAGGCAGGCAAGTTTTGGTCTCAGACCAGTGTTGCCACTTTGGATCTTTTATATCCAAATTTTGATCTTTTTCATAGCATTTAGATACTGTTTTTGACGTTTAGATCGTAAATATTTTTCTAGTTTTTTTTCATGTGGAGTTAGATATTTTATAGATTTTTTTTCTTTCATTGTCAATTTAATAATTACTGTGTAAAATATTTATAACAATATTTTTGTTTTGGTCTGGCACGTACATTGTGACAACTG